GAAACGCTCAAGACGTCATAAGACCTCGAAGGCGTCACCAAGTAAGGGAGACGAGTGCCAGGCGTGCAATATCATTGTTTCTAAAGCTGACTCAGCTTTCGAATGCAATTTTTGCAAATGGTGGGTGCACTGCCGTTGCGACAAAGAGGTACCGAAATCATACTACGAGTTTATGAGAAATAACCCGTGCCCGTGGTTTTGGTACATCTGTCCACTCTGTCGCCCTGGTGTAGTCACACAGAGCGTGTCTGCGGTTAGCAGAAACAACACGCCGCCCTTGTGTTCCAACACGGTCTTATGTAGCTCCCCACCTGCTAACGTCACATTGCCAAAACTTGGCACAGACAGTAAGAAGGACACTCCTGTCCTACTGACCGAAAATGCCAATTTTCACAAGGTGAAGATTCATAAGGTTGGACCTAAAAAATCAAGGAAAGATAGAGTTAGAGAAGCACCACTTGCATCCACAAGCAAGCTTGGCAACACAATAAAGGCTGGTCAGAACCCGATGAAGCCTAAAGTTGCTGATGCTGCAAAGGAATACGAGAAGCCAAAGGCCAAACCTAAGTCTGAGGTTAATCGGTCTAATTCGCTCATCCTCTTTAACGTACCTGTGAGCAAGAACAGCTTGCTTGAACAGAGGGCCCTGTTTGATCAGGAACAGTGGTCCAACCTGTGCAATAAACTAGGTCTGAATATTAGTTCAGTGAAATTGTGCAGGCTGTACAGGGGTGTCCACACACCTCAAGGTAAGCCACCCCCATTACGGGTTACACTGGACTCTGCCGAATAGGCCGAAAAGGTACTATTGATGGCTCAGGTACTAGCCATCGACAGAAGCTCTAACATAAGGGTGAGACAAGACAGACCATGGGCTGTCAGACAAATGGCAAGGGAGTCACCGGAACTTTTGCCTTCTACCTCTACGGTGGTACACGGTGTCCCGGAGCTGGAAACGGGCACTGCCTGTGTAAAACACATGCATGACGTACAGCAGTGGAGATGGCTGTCGTCTCAGATGGCCCTTGGCGCTTCTGGAGCCATCTCCGTTTACCGACTACCTCGCCCCGCTCATCTCACACTGATTAGCTCCCCAAGGCTGCTTAGTGTCACATTCAACTCCCCAGAGCAGTTGGCCATAACACTTCAACGGTGGTATGAGATCAAGGGGAAATTGGGATGACACATCCGATGCTGCGAAAGCAGACCTCGAACCATAAGGAGGCAGCAAACGGAGGCTTTAATACGTCCTCAAGCTTCAGTGACACTCGAGCGATGCAGTTCTGAGAATAACAGTCTGTGCCACCCAAGTGTCCTGCCTAAATCCAAGGGAAAAAACCACAATGCGCCGGTTCCATCGGAACTGGCCAATTAGTCCCAACACTAAGTTCCCTACCAGCAGATAGCTTCACGTCAACTACCCCACAACACGCTGAGGTTGTAAGACTCACTGTCAGCTGCCTGTATAGCAATGTGAGGGGCTGAGAGTAAAAATAGGTGAACTCCGAAATCTCCAAGCACACCTACAACTGAAAATAATCATTCTCACCGAAACATGGCTAACCCTCACTATCGCCGATAATGAAATCAGTATAGGTGATATGGTTTTGGTCAGGAGAGACAGGGACAATAAGGAAGGAGGGGGAGTTGCCATATACTTTGATAGGCAACTTAAATGTGTTCGCGCAATGGACCCACCACTTATTGAACTCCCAGACTCCATATGGTGTCATTTCACCGTAGGCCACACCAAGCATTTACTTGGTGGCATCTACCGATCTCCCACCTGTGGAGCAGAGCACAATCAGCTACTCCTCAGCACTATCACAGGGATATGAGACTTGGGCTATGACCAAATCACCATTGCTGGAGATTTCAATGCCCCATCACTGAACCTTGGCTCGGGGTATGCTAAGGGAAAATTCGGCCGAAATCTACTGCAAGCTATTCGGAACACGGGACTGACTGAGAATGTTGGAGACGACACTAGGTGGGACCCTAGTGGAAAGTCATCAAAACTAGACTACATTCTAACTAGTGACCAACTGCTCGTCGAAAAGGTCCAGGTCATGACTCCTCTAGGAAGTAGTGACCATGCAGTCATAGGTTTCGACCTCGTTCTCCGTGAGCACTTGCAGTGGGACGCTACGCAACCATGTCTGTGTTACAGCAAGGCTGACTACGCTGAAATGCGGAGGCTCTTGTTCGATGCAGACTGGCCCTTAGCATGGGATGAGCTGTCTGTGGATGAACACTGGGAAGCGGTAAAAAAGATTATTCATACAGCGATCTCGGATACCGTCCCTTTAGTCACAGCACAGCCCAAAAGAAAATCATCATGGTTAAAGAGAGGCACGCAGCGTATTCTGCAAGCAAAGAGGAAGGCTTGGTTTACGTGGCGCGTATCTAAAAGCCAGATCGACCATGCTGCATACCTGGAACTCAGGAACCGGTGCAATGCAAAAGTCAGGAGGGACAGAAGGTCATTCCAGGCTAACCTTGCTAAAAACTCCTGGCAAACCCGAAGAATTTGTACCGATTCATGTCGGAAAGGAAACCAACCAACCAAGGGGCTTGCGCCTTAGTAGGCCAAAACGGTCAATATCTCACTAGTCTGGAGATGGCTGAAACATTCAGTTTAGCCTTCGCCAAACAGCTAAACAGCAATGTGGGTATTACCGTTACGAACCAAAATGGTGGCATGACTATTTCACAGGAGGAAGACCAAATAGCCACCCCTGAAATAAACCCTGCAATAGTACTGAGAAAGCTGCAGCGACTCATACCTGGGAAGTCCCCAGGTTGTGATGACATCAGGCCATCTGTTCTGAAACAGTGCGCCGAAGCTCTCTGTAGGCCTTTATGCGACTTGTTCCAACACTCCATGGAATCGGGGAAACTGCCAAAGGAATGGAAAAGAAGCATCCTTTCTCCGATCTTAAAGGGTGGGGATAGACAAAATCCCACCAGTTATAGACCAGTAGCTCTACTCCCAGTGGTATCGAAAGTACTGGAAAGTATTATTGATGATCACATCAGGGAATATCTGGATAGGTCTAAAATACTGCATGAAGCCCAACACGGTTTCAGGAAAGGAAGATCCTGCGTCACTAACTTATTATCAGCTTGGGACGATTGGACATCATGCTGGGATATGAATGTTCCTGTCCACGTGATCTTTCTAGACTTTGAGAAGGCATTTGACACTGTTCACCATGACCTTCTCCTACACAAAATAAGCCAGGTAGGTCTAGGTAAACCACTTCTGTCATGGTTGAAGGACTACCTAACTGAAAGGCAATTTTGCACCAAGGTCAATCGAGTCCGATCATCTTGGCACAGCTCGTCATCAGGAGTGTCGCAGGGTTCTATCCTGGGACCACTGATGTTCTTGATTTTTATCAATGATTTACCATGCCGTCTAAACTGCCCGACTCTTCTATACGCTGATGACGTAAAGATATGGAGGGCGGTAAAGTGTCCGGAGGACTCAGATAGGCTGCAGGCAGATCTAAGGCTTCTGGAAGACTGGGCGGTAACCAGTGGCATGACTTTCAACCTGAAAAAGTGCAAAGTAGTGAAGTTACGCACCTGTAGACTGCAGAATGCAAGTTACACCCTGTGCAATGAAAGCTTGTCCTGCTCAACGTCGGAACGTGACTTAGGTCTAGTTCTAACGGAGAAAATGGACACAAGCGTGAATTTCACGGGGGATGTAGCGAGGGCATATGCGGTCATGCACTTTACACATAGACAATTAAGTGCACTCACTCCTGAGCTCTTTCTAAGATTGTATGAAACATACGTCAGACCACACCTTGAAGTGCATAATATTATTGCACCCCCACTACTTAGAAGAGACGCCAACCTCTTGGAAAGAGTCCAACGACGGGAACAAAAGGAGTGGTTGGTCTCCGAAATAAACCATATGACGAAAGGCTGAAGAAATTAGGCCTATTCACACTCAGTTACCGTCGCGTGAGGGGGGATTTGATTACTGCCTACAAAATAACAAATGATCAGAATCACCCAAACAAAGGTGTTCTGCCATTGAGTAGGTATAGGCTCCCTCGTGGAAATCCCAGAAGGATAGCTCATCAGAGGGCAAGGACCCGGGTGCACTCCCACTTCTTTTCCCTGCGGGTTTGTCGTCCCTGGAATTCCTTACCGGCAGATGTAGCTATGGCACCATCTGTGGACGCCTTTAAGCGAAGGCTGGACAACCATGCAGCGACACAAGGACTGTATCCAAATGGCCTATCCCCTTAAAATCGCATATACCATTCAAAGGTAGACAATTAAACTGGTCGTTTTACTTCTTCACATTCCCTTCAGTCTTACTCTCCTGACAGCTTTAACTACACTTATTATTATTATTGTTATTATTATTATTATCATTATTACTGGTATATATATATATATATATATATATATGTATACCGGTTGACTGACTGTTGTTACGTTTTCTTATTTTTTTTCTCTGTCTGTTAGTCTGAATACCTTTACTAATTATATCTATTATTATTATTATTATCTCTTTTCCATTGACGACGATACCGAAAGACTAACTGGTGAAAGGATCAACTCCATTCACAGTAGTAACAGTCTTAACACACTTCATACTACAGACGCCATATAATTAATCCCAGCACTACTCCTGTTGGAGTCAACCAAAGCTACGACAGTCGAGTGGCGGGACGAGCTACACAGACGTTTACCAAAGATCAGGAACCTCTACCTTACAATCAAGAGGCGAACACAAAGAAATCAAATTGGTTTATACTAGCTCGTAAAAAGATATTGGATATTGGATTATTAAGCTAATAATAATTTTTCACCTCTACTCCGGCTAATCAGCGTTTAGGCACATTTCTAATCAACGTTGCATCAAAACCTTAGTGACTTCTGTCAATATTGCGTATTGAATAACAATTACTCTTTAATTGCTTCAACAAACAAAACAAAGGTCAGGCCAGGAAGCCCCTCACTGTTTGAATGCGATGAAAACACGCCCTTCTCTGTATAGGTGTATCTTAATATTAGCTTTGCTGGTTAATATTTGGAATTATGCTACTTACGTAAATGGATTTAATGTCGATTTTAAATCTCCACTTTTCAAAACTGGGAGAGAGGACTCAAACTTTGGGTTTTCACTACTAGGATATTCACATTTTTCAGGTCAAAAAGGGTAAAGTAGCTTGATGACCTAATTTTTCGTCCTTTTACAGTGTTGTTATTGGATCACCGAAAGAGGGGAAAAATGGTGGGCTTTTCTGGTGTTCACTCTTCAAGAGTACATGCAGCCGAGTTGATATTAATTTGGAAAAAGAGACACATATGCAACCTGGTTTAAATGGGGCTCTTTTTGGATACTCAATGGCATCAAGCTTTGTCAGCGACCGGGGTCCTATCACAGTATGTTGATTAATAACTTTTAAATGATTGCTTAAAGTAAAGCGTGCAGTTTTCAGTTTTTGTAATCTTCAGTTATATGGTCGATCATATAACTGATGATCACCTTGTACAGGATTATTACGTTGAATTCTTTTTTGGAGCTATGTGTCAAACGCTAGGCATGTTTGACAAGTATGAAGTTACCCTTTAGTGTATATCTGTCGTCGTCTCTAATATGTTTGCATGTTAATGTTGGCTATGGAACTTGTATTGTGAGTAAAACTGTAGAACTATTCAGCTGCAAATAGAACTACGTTCCAGTTGTGTTATCGCCTCAATTTTGGTTATTATTTCAGTTAAACATTTGTGCATCAGTATCAGTTTCTCAAACTAAGATTATCTTGTTTGGTGTGTTACAAGTAAACCTCCATATTAATTTGATGATGATGTCATCTTGCGAAGCAGCTTTTGAAAATGTTTCAAACGTAACCTTTTCATAGTCATATCAGCTAGTACGGAAATACATATACATATACAACTCATTATTCATTTTTATGAATACTTAAGATATTACTGGTGTATAATATATTGATATACTTTTGTCTTCTTTCTATGTAATAGTCTATTTTGGTGACTTATTTGGTTCTTAGGATCTATATGACAGAAGTTTTATTCCAATGTAGGGATGTATTTTCTTGATAATAACGCAAATTTCATTGTTAATGAATCCTCTATGTAGGCAGTATCTTTGTGGCAACCAACAGGAATACTTAATGCATATGCGGCAGATTTCTTTACAATAAATTAACCATTACATCTACATGCTAAAATCATCACTTTATATGTAAGAGGGTTATTCGTTGTTCCAAAACTCGATTTTTTTAGAAATGTTTTACCTTCTGTAAATTGTTTACATATTTTACTCATGACTGTTTACTATTGAAAATGTTGTTTTATTAGAGATAGACTGCCAGTTAAAAATATAAAGTTCTGCCTCTTGAAAAATATTTTACAAAACAATCTGGGAATTTGAACTACTGTTTACATTGTCTCTTCTGTGCATTTTATCTACATTATTTTAATTGAGTTGGCTTTAAAAATATCTAACTTTTAAAGTGGGTTGACTGAAAAACAATAAGCAGTACTAGACAACATCGCTACATACTTAAGTTGTCGGTATTTACGTCTATACCTCTTTGTTTGCTTATTGCAAACCCCTGTGGGATTTATCTTTCTTTCTTTTAATTTACTCTTTCATTCTTATACGTTCTTAGCGGAACATATGGCTTCATGCTAGAGTTTTGAATTTCGGTAGCAGTGGTTTCATGCTCAACCTTCACCTTTTACCGGCTGTACTGACGGTTTAGCGAAGTTTAGGAATGCGTCCGCCGGGGACTGAACCCTGGACCACTTGAGGCGTAGTTGGCGAGCATCCTACCGCTAAACCATCGAATTTTATAATTGCATTGAGTGTAACATTAAAAATACGTCTGAGACTGTAGCGTCTGAGTGTAATCAATTTTCCGAGGAAGATTTGTTTGAAGATATAAGGTAAGGGCAGTTTTCTAGTCTTGATCTGATTTTAACTGTACACAGCGCATAATAAAGGTATCCTGGAAGAAGCAGTTGTCACACATTATTTGATCTCCATGTCATGAAAAACCAACCATAAAGTGTCTCACCTCCATAGATTTTATCGTCAAAGCTTGTTACTAATGAAAACCTACTGCTTATATGACTTTCAGTAAAGTATAGAATGAAATAATTGTATCTGTTAGTTGTTTTCAAATTTCAGGGCAGATATTACAGAAAATTAATTTTTGAAATTTTATCATGTGTAGAATGTCTTTTTTCTGATTAATTTGAATGCAATGTACTAATTAGACTGCAGGTAAGGCTATCCAAAGATAATTCGTAGATATGATTTACTACATCTGTTAAAATACACCAGACCTAGCCCGTTACTTATTCTTCAGTATACAGAGTATTAACTGTTAACTGACTCACTAACTCTCAAATTCACATCCAACCTCGTATATACAAATTTTACTGAATGAAAATATAATCCTTTCCATCGTAACTAATTATCAGCCAACATATCTAAGAGAATTACTGGTTGGAAGAGAACGACTACTTGTTCATGTAATAGTATTCTGACATGCCTTCATCATCATCATTAAAAATGAATTAACAAAACCTGTTACCATGTATCAGTTCAATGTGAGAAATAATATGCGTCTCGAAAACGTCCAACTACTGTTGAAGTTAATTTCAAAACCTTATATATATATATATTGAAGTTTCTGTAGCAGTGTTTATTTTTACAGGATGGGGTTGCTAGCCTCATGCCCAACCTTTCCTCTTCACCAGCTTTTAGTTCTGGCCTAGCGAGGTAAAAGAGTGCGCCGGCCGGGGATCGAACCCCGGACCATGTGCATGGTCGGCGAGCGTCCTAACCGCTATGCCACCGATGCACTATATATATATAGCCACACATAATATCCACTGGAAAACAACAAACTGCTTACTAAGTCCCAATTTTGATCCCCACTGAATTGTATCTTGGCGTTATTCACGCTTACTTAGATTTGAATTACACTCCAAGACAACATGTATGAAATAGTTCACTATGCAGTTAAGTATTTGGTTGTTGTTCAGACTACCTGATTCAAATTTCTTATCATCTGAAAAGCGTTATTGACGCATGGTATTGTAAAGAAGAAAAGACCAATGAGGCTCAAAGGCAATCTCTGTTAGGACATAGGCATTGTAGCTACATAAATTTGGTATATCTTATATTTAAGTCTTTATTTGCACATTATTTGCAAATTGGTCGAATATCATCACATTCAACAGCTTCTTGTTGGATTTTGCACAGTGTTTGTAACGTTCTTCTCCCAGTTGTCTTCTTTGATTGCTTTTTCCAGTGCCCAAAATATATTGTTACTTATCTGAATTCGTTTACTGATATACTACTTATATCTGACTATAAGTAGCAATCACCACAGTATCAGTTCCATAAAACATCGCATTCTTCAAGGTAATTTTGTAAAACACAAAAAAAAGAAAAACGTTTTACTTCTCCAAGAAGACGTGGTTTTTCTGTAATTAAATGAATAAATTAATCATCAGAAGCTCCAAATTTACACTGGTAAAATATCTTAAAACTTGGTATAGACTTCATTTATACATATATACAGTGTTTTTTGCACTACATTTCTGCTTGTAGTACTAGGATTACTATTTTAATCTCAAAGATGATATCTGATCAATATTTTATGCAGAGAATTTGCTTTATTGTAGGCGTAATTAATCTTTAAGTATGGTTGACCATAATTTATATTGATGAATTCTTTAAAGTTTTAACATCATCATTAACATTTCTTTCAATTGTGCGCTCAGATCATCATTTGTCTTCTATTTATTATAAATGATTCCCATATTATATATATATATATATATAATCATGCATTTATGATATTCACTCTTTTTCAAGAGGATTAATTATGTGAAGTGATTCTGATTGACTCTTCTTTTAAAGAGTTCTGTTGTATATACGTTTTCTGTTTGTTTATACATTAGTATATTAATTCAAATTTAAATGTTCAATACTAGTGATCATTGACGTTTGTTTGATAAAATTAACAGAATTTCTTTATTCATTAGAAATACAACAACTTGGAGTAAGGATTTAAAAGGACAGCCTGTAAACAGCACGTTGTCATGTTAGCGTACTGTATCAAAGTGACGGTTCTCATGTCTGTAAAATGTTTAAAAATAGAAGTAACTATTAATAATAAAAAAATGTGTAGTATTTTGTTGAGAATGTTGGAAATATGTTAAATTGCTTAGATGGTCTATTGGCATGGTGTGCGACTGCTGTGCTCTATACACCTGTTTATTGGTTGCAAGTGTTTCTATTTCAGCTGAACACTGTTTTGAAATGTTGTTAATATATTGTAAAAAGGAATAACTGTAGGATGATAGTTACTACTAAAATGGTTTATTTTTTGTTGTTATCAAAGTTGTTCTTCTTTCTGACATAGATTTAATTTTTTATGAAGACTACACTGGTTTCATAGGTTAATAAGACTTTTCGCGGTTATATAAAGGGAGGCGCTGATTACTCTCAGTCGATAAAAGTAATCGCCTGATGTTTTCACGCAAACACCACATCACCTGATAACATTTTGATTTGGTTACACTATTCCTTGTGCATTTCGTCCTATTCAGGACTCATCAGCCGGCTGGATGTACCTGCATTCTCTAATGAGTGATGATGTTTCTACTGAGGCTCGAATCCAGTACCCATCGTTTTAAATGCCAAAGCGTTGTCAATTAGACCATTCGGGCCACGAGAGCCACCTCTCGTGGTGGCTATGGATATTAGTAATTATTTAATTCAATTTGAACTTTTCCGTTGATTGGCTAGACCGAAGTGGTCTAGTGGATAATGCTTTGGTGTTTAAAACTATGTGTACTGGAGTCCGAGTTTCTGTGGAAACACCATCACTCACTGGGAATGTAGCTACATCCAGTTGATAACGAGTCCTAGAAAAGGACGAAATACGCATCCTGGATTCCACTGCCAGTCACCATCCACTAATTGACTTCAAGTTAAATAATCAGACATCGTCGAAGCATCTGCACAAGGAGGCGACATGTCAAGTTGATGCCGAACACTTCGATCTAATCAATCAATGGGGAAATTCCAAATTCAATTAAATGGATGAAAAAAAACTGTTTTCACTTTCATTAGTTAGATATTGTGAAAATGTTTACAGACTGATTGAATTCTAAAAGGGTTAGAGAGGGAAAATCATCTACATCAGTTGTTGTCTTTAGTTTTCTACTTAAACTGTCTGCATTTATTCCATGATATATCAACAAAATTGAAGGAAGTCAACAATAACATTTTCTCTTTACGCATTCATTAATAATACTAACACGATCCAACATACATTATTGTTACATCGTTTATTGAAATTAAATTATACTATTTAAAACCAATGACTCTACTT